TCTCTCTATATATATATATATATATATATATATATATATATATATATATATATACTTTTAGGCCTATAAAAGGGAATGGGTGGAGCTGTCAATGAAAAAAAACCATGTCGGCCCGCCGCTGGTCTCAACAAATTGGAACGGCCACCAGCTTAAAAATTTCTGGGCCTAGTGAAAAGAAACGACGGCCGCACGAGTACGAGGGCGCATAGCGCCGGCACGTAAACAATAAGGAAGGAAAAGAATGCACTGTATTTATTTCGAATTACTGTACTGTCTGAGTGTTTATTCACATTTGGGATAAAAAATGAGTTTTTATTTTGTTTTAATACGACTAGGCATATCATAGGTTTATGTTTAGGTCTACTTTGTTAGCCTGATCGAGTTCTACTTGCAGCCCTGCAAATTTTCCATTTTAGTACAGGCCAGGCTTAAGCCTAACACCAGTGGAACTTTTTGCTTTTTTTGAGGGGATATACGACCGAACCCCCTGCACCCACAAGCCTACGCCCCGGTATTCAGAGAATATCGCTATTAAGGGGACACTTCCGAAACGAGGGGAAATACGGTACATCATTTAACACCACGACCAACTCTTATTAAAGGACACCCCAATAAGGAGGACGGAGACACCCTTAATAACAAGTTAGGATACTTTCGGAGTGTGCCAAATAGCCAAAGAAACACTTATTCAACTCCTATTAAGACGACTTTGACTACATTTTTGTTGATTTGATATCATAAACTGTATTTTGATTACAAATTATTATTAAAAATTAGTTCAATTAACATTATTAAGAATACAGTAGAACCCCTCTTTTTTGGAAACCCCTATTCAGGGGACACATTTCCGTTAAACGAGGGAAAGTACCGTATATTTCAGATCTAGAGTTGTGGCAGATGGCCAGATAACCCCTATTAATGGAACACTTTTTTTATTGTATCACAATTCAACTTCAGCAGTCTAAAAAACATATAAATTCATTCAACTTTATATTTTTACATATTTTGAGCAATAAACCAGAATTTTCTCCCCTGAATCCTTAGAGTGAGCATCGTTAAATACGCCTACTGACCCTTATCCATGGTTATTTCTTTCCAACTTTAATCCATATCATAATATAGGGCCTACACATTTAATTCTAAGTTGTTGTCGATTCATAGACCAGGGTGGAAAAACATCATGAAAAGGCTGTGATCTCCAGGATCAATCCTAGGAGGACGACGGTTTTCTATTCAGGGGACACCTCTATTAAGAAGACACTTGTTTAGTCCCAAAGGTGTCCATAATAAGGGTTCTACTATAATGTTACGTGCCATCCCTCTTAATGTTTTCGTAAATACGGTAGGTACCCCTAGACTCAGGGACACCTCTATTTGGTATAGGGGACACCTTTGTGGTCCCAAATGTGTCCTTTTACTATAGGGTTCTACTGTGAAACCTAGTTGCCTAATGTGTAAGCCTATCTTGACGCAGGGTTCCCGGAACGCCGCCCCCAGCGGCGAGTGCGAACTCCAAAAAACTTCCAAAAGTGGAACGTGAAATTTGGATATGGTTTTGTAGTCAGATTTGCGAGAAAAACTTCAGCTACCCGTATTTCTCGACTGAGACGTCAGTAGGAGCTGTAATTTGTATGGCAAGGAGATTGAGCAACCCTTAATTCATATTAAGGGAATTTACGCCCAGAAACTTTGTAGTTATTAATATTTTGGTTATAAT